TGTTTTTATGGTACAGATAAATAATTAATGTCTTGAATTCATTTGAAGAGTGTATATACATGTTTCTGTCTCGCAGTCTAAATTAATGAAGCCTGCACGCAGGAATGACTCTGACCTCCCTCCCTTTGAAGAGAATCTTAGAGATAACAATTTCCTTCCTCTGTGGCATCACAGACACAGCAGGACTTAACAACGGCTCTCATATCGCCTGTAGCTACATGTAATTTGTAGTACAACTGTGTGGTTCGTGCTCAGATTTGCCTCCCAGTGTTTTCTTTTTGCCAGGCCTGCCCCTGAGCTGCAACAACAATGTGGCCTTTCTTTAGACACATTCTTGTATTTCAATGTGACAAGTGTTATTTATTTCCCAGAGTCAGCCACCATATTTCTGCCATAATCACACCCATTTCTGGATGTGTTTGATGAGAGATGACATGCCCCATTCAGCATCAGAGAGGGAAGTGATGTGTAACACCATCTGTTCTGGTCTAGTGCTTTGGGTTGTGTTAAAGCTACACCTCAGACACAACACGCACAGCCATAGATATGTCTTCAGTTTTACAGAGATGTCAGGACGTCAGTAACAGGTGGCACTTTTTATCATTTTCATTGCAGGTTTTGTGCAGGTGCCTGACATTCTTCCAAGTGGTTGATTTTTAATGTTGTGGATTTACATATTGAATAATTTCCTGAAGATGCTTATTATTTGCATCTGTATGTTATTACCAATTGTCACACTGGCCATTTCCTTCTTAGAGGCAAAAAGTGAGTTTAATTATAAAGGAGTAACAAATAAAATAATTTAATTTCAGGTCTATATGAGTTTAAAAATAAAAGAAGGAACATTTGCCAAAAATGACAAATACAGATATTGCTTTCATTATATGGGACTCAACAGCACCCAAATATTAGTGTAACCATCAACTACAAATCCCATTTTTCCAAATGCCCCTCATTTGTCCTTGTAGGAGTTTTAGCTGTGAGTTGTTTAGCTGCTGAAATAAAGATAAAGACCGTTAGTTACGAGCATTTGTTTTCTTTCGTTGTAATTGTAACAGGCGGATTTTAAAATGGATGGCCTCTCTTCACACTTACAGCTCCCCAGAGCAAAACTGACTTACCCCAGTGTCCCAGGAGGGACATGCAGGTGCAGGCTGCTTACCACCTAATGTTTCCACAGAGACCACCAGTGAAAAGTCTGGCTCGTCACACACATAAACACAAACTCGCACACACTCACACAGGCTGCAGATTCATATTAATGAGTAATTCACCTCGGCCCCGCCTCCAGCTGTGCTCTGCAGAGCAAGTGAAATTACAGAGGGTAAGGAAAAAAACAGAGAGGATGAATGCTGGAAGAGAACTGAAACAGATGAGTAAAGAGGCTGCTCTTTGTTCTCAGAACATGGCCACACCTTTTCTGGCTCACTCTGTGGCCCCTTTGTGCTTGTTAACACAAGTCTCCAAACAGCTCAGACGTCTAAATGGCCTCACTTTGACTTATGGTGTCGTCTGGGGTCCAGGGAGGCAGCGGCCGTGTCTCCCTGCAGATCCCACTCTGCTGTCTCTGTCTGCCTAAAGCTCATCCACGCAGCAGCACAGCTCATATCTGTTCTTGTTACCAAACAGGAGCTTTGCTGAGGTAACTGGAAGCTCTGGGACCCAGACATCCAACACTGTTTTGTTTCCTTCACTTTATTTTATTTTTACCTCCCTAGGCCCTGACCACCACTGACAGAGGAGTGACAGTCTTCTGATTTCACAGCCAACCACCCACTAGTGCTTTTCCTAAGAGAGTGAAAAAAACCCAATATTCTAAGAGAGATGAGGTAGATAAGATGTAGATGAAGTTATTAAGAGAATAATTATTTGTGTAAGTGGTTGACAGAAATGGGTTGTTTATATATATATATATATATGTATATATGTATATATGTATATATATATATATATATATACAGTATATAGTATTTTCCACAGAGTCTCTACAGACTCTACTTTTAGAAAGCTGGAACGTCTCCTGACTACAGTAAAAACTGGAGTCTGTAGAATTTTCTGAACTTGTTTATTAATCTACAAAATGACTGAAAATGACATGCTTAAGTCTATTTAATTAAAAATGTACTAATATAAGTATTGGTGCATAAAAACACACTACTTGTGGATGTTTATCATTTTAGTTGTCTCAGCGTTTAGATGATTTTCCATTTTGGTGTCTGACTTTTGGGATTTATTCTTTGATTTGGTAAAACTTTTATCAATCCTCTTGCCAAACCTTTTGGCGCTTTATACAAAAATAATAAAAAGCATAAATAAAATCATATACTATATGATCACCCAAAAATAAAGCAAAAAAAATTGCCAAAAGAAAAAGCCCCAAAAAAGTCCTTACATTAACAAAAGGAAAGGTTAAATTCAGTATCTAAAAGTTGAATTTAATTTTTGAAATTAATCTTTCTGTAACCTAAAGGATATAAAAAATATATATTTTTGCTAAACACAGACAATTTGTTTTAATAGAGCCTCAAGAGCAGTCAGTTCAGTAAAGTCATGCTGGAATAAACCAAAAAAAAAAAAAAAAGATTTACTGTCAATCCATAATATAACCAAGATGAAAAAGATGGGAGATGCTGACGGTGTACATCTGAGCAGCTAAAGAGTTAAAACAAATATCTCACAGCCTTTGTCAACAAGCATAACAGTGGCTTATAATCATTGAAAAAAGACCAAGATTCATCATCAACCTTAATCTTGACTACAGTGACACCACCAGTCCTACTACGGAGTGACAACTGCACAGGTGTAGTTCTTGTGTGTTCAACAGACCAACTGTCCAGTGTACGTCACACACATGCAGCCACTGTCCTCGCTCACAACCAGGTTTGTAGATGTTCATTTAATATTCCAGTGCACTTTTCCAGTGTTGAGAGACCGACTGCCAGGTTATCAGATTGCAAGAGCGCTGTAATTACATTCACCACAGCGCACTGGTCTGCTGCTCTACAAACACCTGGCACGCTGCCCTGCAGGCACTGACCTTTCCCTTCCAAGAGAAAATCAGGCTATGTAAATGGCAGTCATATGGGTCACTATCTGCACAGTAAAAACTGGGATGAAAAATGTTTAAATGAAACAGCAGTCGTTCCCTTATACGACATGGAAGCCTATCATTTCTGCTAATCAGTGAGATGCGTTGGCTCCATCGGCTCTTTATCTGAATGCTGGGTATTCAGGGCCGCGGCCTATTCATTATCACCACCGCCCTCCACGCGAGGTGCCTCATCCTCTCTAATTCAGATTTATGACGCTGCACAAAAGCGTGTTGTTGCGCCTCGCCTCCTGTTGAGCTCTGTTGGACTTAATAAATGGACACCCCATCCACAACGAAGACGGATCTGAGATGACAGGGCCGCGGCCCCTTGGA